CACATTTTTTAATGAGAAAAATAAAATAGCTTTCTCTCTTTCACTCACACACATGTACATGCACTCAGTGAGGGAGATGATATTTTCAGAATTTAATTTTCCACTCTACAGAATGTTGGCTCTAAAAAGCTGGCTTTAAAAAAATTGTTTAGCTGAGTAAATTGTCCCATCTCATACATGCATGATAAATCTCAAACATGTTAGAGATTACTTAAAAATTGTTTTAGCTTCCACAAACAGACCATATTACTGTTCATATGTAATTTAATATACGTGAATACGTTCAGTCAAGTATGGCTAAATAACTCAAGTTGTTAACTATGTTTATTTTTGCCATATTATATCTAATTTATTGTATCCATTCACATCTTGTAACATTGCTGTTCTTCAGCAAACGTCATTTGTTAAGTGTTTATTTGTATGTTGTATACTATATGTTTCTGATTAATGGCAAACAGGAAGAGAATGTGTGTTTTACATAACAGAAACTGCTAAACTGGAATACAATGCCTAAAATTGAAACTACTTAACATAACTGGCTGAGGCAGAATGAGGATCATTAAAAAATGATCCAGTACAGGAGGAAAGGAGTGGCTGGTCACATATTTAGAATATTGGACTGTCAAGCGAGAGACCCATGTTTGACCCTAAGCAAGATGATGGAAATCTGCTGAACTCTGACTAAAAAGCTGGAAAAAAAGGGGGTGGGAGGGGGGGGGGGAGGGAACAATGAACATACACAGGAAAAATCTGACATTTCGGCCAGATCCTTTCTCAGCACAAAACACAACAGCAGCAGCAAGGGGCAGAATATCCTGGTCAACAGTCCCCACATAGTAATGGTCATATGTATACCTTGTTTTCCTTCCCTCTTCATTAAGCTTGTTAGTCATAGTTCAGTTGATTAACTCTTTGACCCCCAAGGAACGCATCATACGTTAATAGGTTCCTACCTAAAAGCCCAATGAACTCATGGTGTGCCGATTATATGGCTTTCTTTACTACCCCCCTGGGCCTGTGATGCTAAACCCCCTGGGACTCAAAGAGTTGATTCCTTCTTATTAGATTGACTGTAGGTCACCCTTGTTTTCATAATTGTAAGATGGTCTTTTTGAAAAAGGAAAAAGGTGTGGGGGGGGGGGGGGCAGAAATAAACATCCTAACCTGCACAGTTCTTGGTGGCTGCACTAACCATGCTGCCTCAAATCCTCAGGTTCACGACCCTCTAACCTGCACTACCCTAAAAAGTGGTACATTCTGGCAGTACTGATGACAGTACAAGAGGAATTGATTTCTTGGCTAGAATATGTGTAAATCTTACATTTCAACTCCACACATATCTGAAATAGTAATTGCCTTTTCTTTTCCCAGTTTTAAAGAAGTATTTATTTAATTGGACCATTTTTAGATTTTCTATTTGAAAAAAAAAAAATTTTTAAACACTCAGAAATATGCCAGCTTCTGAAGCTCTAAGATGTCTCATTTTTCCTGAGCCTTGTAATACAAATTCCATGCTCAAGTCAAATCCAAGCTGAGTCAATTTTTTTGGGGGTCTGTTTCAAAACCGAACTCGGTTTCCAGATTGACCTAGAAAGTATTATTGGTTGATACGATGTTCACCACATCACCAGTCAAGTGCCCACTGATTTATACAAATATGAGTTTAGTATGCTCAATGTACCACTTTAAAAAAAAATGTTTTTCAACATGTACCCCCGTGACAGTGTTTTACCCTACAAAGTTCTCTTTTTATCTATATTTATTTCTCTTATTCTTACTTCTGGTATTATTTGAGGTTTTATTTTTGAAACTTTTTCTTATTTCCTGATTGGCTTTATCACTCTGTCTGTTTTTATTTATGGTGGGCTGTAGGGTTCTATATATTTTGAGCTTGCTTAATTCTTCTTCTTCATTGTAAACTTTTAAACTTATTTTTTAAAGTCCCCACCAAAAGGTGGTAATTTGATGCTCCATCTGCACACTAATTTATTTTTTAGGTAGTGTCTCTACTCTATCATCTACAGAACAATCTGGCAATGTCTTTATATTGACAACAGCTTGACTGATTTTCTGTATGTCCATATGGTGAACTATATGGGGTATGTGTGGTAACATAATATTAGAAATGCATTTTTGCACATACATTTCTGTATTCCTTTTATGCTGTTTGTATTGACTGTTGAGACACTGCACTCTTTGTTGCCATATAAGATTTACTTTTTTCTACAAAATGTTCGTCTATGTCTTTCAGCATTAACCTTACTTACTGTTTTTTTTTTTTTTTAACATACTGCATTTATCAATATCCACTAAATCCAAACATGATTTAAGTCATACATACAAAAAAAGCAGGATTGCATAATATATATACATATTTGTTAATAGAAGTCAAAAATTGGTATACTGAGCCACACATATCCTTCTGGTATAGTACCTTTCTTGTTTGAAGAGACTTGACATCAGTGAAGTGCAGTAGTATCTATAACTGCTTTTTGTTTAAGACTCTATTGATCAATAACCATGTTGTTGTTATGAGATATCTATGTTAGATGCTGGCCTGGTCATACTCTGGTATCAAATTTAGATTGTTATAAAATTACTTTGTTTTATGACTTTATTATTACATATGAATACCATAGGTTTTTTTTTTAAATAATAAAAATATTTGAGTGCAACTGTTTTTTTTGTTTTCCTTTTAGTTGGATTGTTTTTTCTCCCTAAGTCAAGTAAATGGTAGTCCCCACAGCAGATACATAATCTTGGTCATAACACAATAAGGTCTTCTTCTTTATTAGCGGCTGGCCAGTGGTTAGAACATCAGGCTGTTATGCTGGAGACCTGGGTTTGACCCCCGTAAGGTGATGGAGTTTTTCTGTTGGGTGCAAATTAAATAAACATCCTAACCTGCACAGTTCGTGGCAAAAGCACTAGCCATGCAGCCCCCCCCCCCCCCCCCAAATCTTCAGGCTCACGACTCCCTGTCTACACCACCCTAAAAAGTGGTAAATACAGACAGCTGTGTCAGACTTCTTCTTTAGTTCACCTGAAATAAGTTGTCTATATAAATAATTGTGTCTCTCATTTAAATTTTACTGTCATTTTTAGTTCATTCATTGGTTCGTTAAGTTTACTGCTGTCTTTTTTTGGGCAAAAGGTTTGTCTTAATCCTAATGTATCATATTCGGTGCAGTCATGGAGTATGTGTTCTGCTGTCTGTAGTGACTTTCTGTTTGTGCACATAGCTAATACACCTATTTTTAATTTCAAATTCATATGGCCGCATAATCATCTATGTCCTGTTATGAAGTGCAAAATAATTATTCGTTTTAATTTGTACGTAATAAAATAGATGTTGTATACTGGGTCTGGTGGTATTCTGATTGATTCAATTATCCTTTTCTTTTGGTACATTTGGTAGCACATTCCCTAGCTTTCCTTCCCAGATAATTCTCAAAACACACATGGGTCGAGACAGTTCTTCTTCCCGTTCTTAGCCTTCCCAGGCTGTAAATTCCAGAGGAAAGTTCTGATTTTTCATCCACTTTTAGATTTTAGTTTTGTTCCAGAACTTGAGTTTTGCATGCATATCCCTTTTACAGATCTGCATTATTTGTTTGCAGACTGTTGGTTCCTCACCTCTCAGGCAGATGCACTCTGACATTGGAAAATCACCCCCTAATTAGTTGACTTTTACAATGTGCTCATTAGGAAGACAGTGTTTCTGCTCCTTTTTTCCAGGGGGGCACTGGATCTATTATCTTTTTTTTCCACACTGGAGGCCCTGAAACCACACAGACAATAGAGAGAATTGATCCTGACTCTGTTGGGGACAAAACTTGTATTTTTAACTTGGCTTCATGATCCTCACTGTTTCGGTCTCAAGAATGTTCCTAGTTCAATGTCTGCTGCAGACAATTTATTTATTGGTAAAATTTTGTTGTTGTGAAATTAACACCTGCTGATTTCTTCTTTCATACTAACTATAACAGTATTAAACATGCACTCAGTATCAGGTTCAAAATTCTCTTTAAAAATAATACATTCTTTCGTAGGGATTAGAAGTATATTACATTGTATATTGCCTTTTTTGTACACCACCCTCTCTGCCATTTTTGTAACGGGAAATTAATGTTAGCTAAGTCTGTCAAAATTCATGGACCTGAAAGAGTATTTTTTTTAAAAGAGAGAAAGTGAGAGAGAGAGAGAGAGAGAGAGAGAGAGAGAGAGAGAGAGAGAGAGAGAGAGAGAGAGAGAGAGAGAGAGAGAGAGAGAAGCTGGAAAAACAAATCAGAAAGATCATATTTATTTAGCCCTATAATAAAATACATAAATACATCGGCGGTGGAGGATAAGATTTGAAGGTAAATGGGTTGGATCATAGATATATTTTCTAATTAACAATCAATTCAACACTATTACTTAATTCAAACACTTTTTGCCCTTTTTCTTGCTGATTAACAAAACCAGTAATCTTTGTTAATTAGCCACATGTAAGGCAACACAAAATATCAAGGTATAGTTAGGATACTTCTTTGCGTTCACTGGCAGTACATTTCAGCGGAAAGTTCTGATTGTTCATCCCCTTTTGGATGCTAGTCTTGTTACAGAACTTGACTTCTGCATGCACATCTGCTTCACAGATCTGGCTTATTTGTATGCACACTGTTGGTTTCTCACCTCTCAGATGCACTTTAATTTCAGAGGATATACTCCTTACCGCTTACTGAGGGCAACAGTGGGTCTACCTACCCCCCCCCCCCCACACACACACACACACCCCCAATGGGGCCCTGGAACTTACACTGGGAGGTCAGTATATATCACTGTAGAATTTCAAGACAAGAGATTACTGGAGATCTTTTATACAGAGTACAGTGAACGCCCACTATATTCACGTTTGTTGCAAATCGATGCAATAACTTGAGTGAAGGTTTTGCATTAAATGATGCCACAAACGATGTTAAAATAAACGCTGACTGTTGCTAAGAATAATACTTACTTTAAGCCGCTGGTTTACCATCACTTATATAGCTATTAACCTTATCCACAAGGTCATTCTTCTTGTCCTTTGATCGGCAGATCACACCTCTGTCCTTCAGCCATGCTGTTAAGGTGACTGTGTTGACTTTCCCTAACTATCAGGGGAAACAAGTAGATAATGTAGATTCTTGTCCAGCTGTCCTGTGGGAACATGTTGTTGAGGTGGACTGGATTCTGTTCATAATTTTGAAGAGATTGCACAGCATAGAATGGAGAAATAGACTGTGAGCCCTATGTAACATAATGGCAAAAACAGGACAATAGTAATGATGACGATTCAGTTCCCATGAGGTGTATTATTGGCTTTGATTCAGTAATTTGTACCAAAAAACCAGATATATGTAATTTTCTGTTTGTTTCTCCTACTTTCACTGAGACACTCCCTCATGTTTTCCCTCAGCTCACAAACCCATCCTTCTTTCCCACATCATTCTTCATTCCATATCTCCCTCACATTCTCTAAAAACTCTCTCATGCTTACTCACACTCATTCTCACCCTTTCACTCACTCACACACACACACATATGCATGCACACCCCCATGCGCAAACACACACGCACACTCGGAGAGACTAAGAAATTCATTACATCTACACCCTAGGTTAGAAAGAGAAAGATTATGTACATGAATTACATATTTGTACATTTAGCATTATTCTTGATGCAATTCCAAGTTATCCTCTTATTCCTAGTCTGGGATAAACATTCAAGACTTCTATCACTATCTACTTCTTGCTTGCCTGTCTTCAACTTCTCCCTACACAGTGATTTTTACAAGAGGACCATTTCTTTTCACGTTAAAATATTTCAAAATTGTCTCTCTCATTTCTTTCATCAACATTTTTTAAAATTCCCAGTCTCTGTAGAACCACTTTATATGAATGTTTATTACCATGGATTATGACATATTCCTCTGTTTACCCACATCCACAGGAGTTCAACCCTAATAGCAGCTGGTACAGATCTTGAGAAAACAACAATGAAGTTGAAATGTACTGACCTGATTTGATCTGGCCAAGGCTTCCACATCTAAATTCTGTACCTGTGACTTGACTCTTGGCTTTTTAAGAGTCTCTTCTCCCTGTATATGTAAACACATATGGCTGACATTGAAACTGTGACTGTGAGGTCAGTTTTCTTGGTACAGAATCACTTTCACTATATACAGATTCCTGCAAGAGTGCTCTAGTCTACATAAGGAGAAGAGCAATCATTAGCAAGTGCCTTGCCGACTGGCAAGGACAATCATCCCTCTTCACAATCTGTGATCTTCAACATATATCACTTCATGTGCTGACACCCCTGATCTACTGAGTTTATTGCTTGATGAAGTTCTGTGAGCCGTGTTTTTCATGTGGAATGCCTTTCATTTGTTTAGCAGTTGGGTTGTGGTATTCAATATGGCCAATAGCCGGCTTACATTTGAGCTGGTGAAATACCTTATGTAATAATTCTATGTGTGTAAAGCCAACTTATTGTGCCTGACTACCTCTATCAATGACAAACTGCATTTCTGGTGGCGACTGTTAGTTTTGGCACCTCTAGCAAATGCCATATGTATTTACTGCTTGTTCATGTTTCTGGATTGTTCTGAGACTAATTGTTTGTTCACCAGTTTTTCAAGTGAGACAGTGAGAGACATTTCATTTGATTTTCACTGGCACAGGAACGGAGCAAGTATGGAGCGACCCGAGTGCAATGAAGTTTAAACCTCAACTAAAACTAAGACTAACTGTTGAAGTGCTGTAACAAAACAAAACAAAAATACAAAAAAAAAAAAAAAAAGTTACAAATTAAATGCTAGTGAATTTTTAATATCCCACTGACTCACCTCTGTAACTTTCTTCCTCTTCATTGCATCCTGAGACCCATTCTTACACCATCCGTTGCTCTCCTGACTGCTTTTACCTAACAGCACAGGTGTGGAGGGAGGCTCTCGTGCATTGCCATGAGCTGGTGTCAGTAACATATTTTCCAATCTTTCTGCTGGCAAGACTAAGCCACAAAAACTTGGTGAATTCATGATGCTTCTAGGGCTTGGCTGTGATTTTCTCTCTGATGCTATTTTTGAAATACTATCAAAAAGAGCAATTGGTGTGTTTGATACTGATGAAACTGGTGGCAATAGAATGGTGTCAGGTCTCTGAGCTGACAAGCTTAGATCAGAATTAGTTGTTGATTTCATCATACTTCTTGGGTTGCACTGTTTTGTCTTTTCTGCAACTGTTTTCAAATCAATAACAGAAGAACTAACTGTTTTTGATAAAGCTGGCTTTGTCTGAGCACATTTAAGAGACTTCTGTTTCAAATTGTTTCTAAAATGAGGAACTGAGACAGAAAATGTAAGCTGTGGTGAGTCCTGTTCCTTCGCTGGTGTATTACTTGTCTTATTTGTGGCCAAGCGTAACTTAGATGAAGGTGACTGAATTATGGCAATGTTTGTTCCTGAACTCTGTGCTACCGTTTTGTCTTTCTTGCTTGATGTTGCCTTTGAAAGACACGGTTTGAATACAGGTTTAAAGCTGGTTTCTTTTGGGATGATACAATGAAAATTTTCAGAAGTAAATTGTTTTTTGTCTACATGACATTTTGGTTTGGGTCTGAAGTGTGGAACAAATTTGTTGGCCACTACAGGTTGTGTATTATTATGCTTTCCACTGTTATCAGAGTTTGTCATCTGTTTTTGTAACAATGAATTATACTTCTGGTCTACTGAAGTGTTAGGTTGTGAATGGTAAATGGTATTTTCTGTGCCATTCTTCTGTGTTATAATTTGGTTTTCTGCTTTCTTTCCTACTGTATATAAGTTGAGATCATCATTATCTTGACACTCTTGAACTTGTTTCTCATTCTCCTGTGTAAGTCTCCTTTCTGTCTCCTCTTTAGCATGATTCTCTTGAACTCTTTTTTCATTTTCTTGTCCTTTTTCTGTCTGTGATACATTAACAAAGTTCATATCTTCTTTTGGTTTCTCAGTTTTTTGTTCATATAGTTTTTCTCTAGCTGGAGCTTTTTTGTCAATATTTATTAACTGTCTAACAGTATATGAGTTGGAATCATCTTTATCATGATACTCTTGGACTTGTTTCTCATTTTCATGTATAAGTCTTATTTCTGCCTGTGTTGCATTAACAAGTCCCATGTCTTCTTTTGCCATCTCATTTGTCTGTTTATATAGTTTTTCTTTAAGAGAAGCTTGTCTGTCAGTGTTTGTGATGTTAAACAGATGTGATATTGATTGCTGACTTCTTACTGGGGCAACTGGCTTGCTGACAGGCTTCGCTGATAAACTTACTCTTCTTGTCTCCTAGAAGAAAACAAACACAAGATACAGGCAGAGACTGAAGCCTATCTGATTTTTAAAGTAGCTAATGAGTGTAAAATCTTAACAGAGGTAAGTTATCTTAGGTAGGTAGGTAGTAGTACCCCACCAGGACATCACACAAGCGATAAACACCCGGTGACACAAAGGGCCACCATGCGGATGAGGATCACCCGCGGAGAGGTCCCAGAAACCCCTTTCAGCCGTTAGGCCATATCTATGGCTAGGCCATATCTATGCCCCGGTTATATTCAGGGCCCCCGGCTGAAGCCAGGGTGAGTTATTTTAGAATCGTTGCTGGAGCTAAAGTAACAAGAAGAGATACAATTAAAAATAAAGAATTAGAATAAGACAAGGACTGAAACCATTCATACAATTAATTAAAGAGCAAAAGATGAGATGGTTTGGTCATCTGACTAAAATTCCCTGAGAAGAAATTCAATGTCCAAGCCAAAATACCATCCATGAAGCAAAGCAGTCATCCAAAAAAGCACCAGTAATCTATGATTTTGGCCCTAGTGCAATGTCGTCTGGTCAGCAGATGACAAATACACCCCCCACCCTTCCCCCACCCCCATTTTATTTAACTAGTGAGAGTTGCATTGTTATGTTTGGAGCACAAAGTGAACATTAAATAATGTTTTAAACTCAGAAAAAGTACGCTGCTAAGACAGTTGAATTGATGAGACAAGTTTATTGGGATCAAAGTTTATCTCGTTCATAGATACTCAGGTGGTATTCATGATTCAAAATATGGTATGGAAAAACATGAAGATGAAGCCAGGCCGGGATATTAAATTTCTGTTCGAATTAGCCAAAGTCAGAGAATGGATACACAAGACTGATGTCTGACTATGAGGATGTTGGCAGATGAATTTATCCTCATAAACATATCTTATCAATTCAACTGTCTCAAGAGCACTTTTCTGAGTTTGAAATATAATTTAATGTTCACTTTTAACTGCATGATATCGTTTGGAAAGACAGAAATGTGCCAATGACGAATCCATGATGCATAACTAACCACACAGCTCTCACTAGCTAAACAAAATGGCAGGTTACTTTTAATCTTCTGACAAGGCAGCATTACAGTTTTACTAGATTATAGATGAATGTTTGCATGTTTGGATGACCTGCTTTCATTTGTATTTTGTCTTGGCCATAATAAAATCAATCTCATTATTTAACTGTTGAACAGTGTATATTCATTATGTTCATATGTTAATAATATCTTTCTTCTTCTTCTTTGCGTTCACCAGCTGTACACTCTGGTGGAAAGTTCTGGTTGCTCGTCCATTACTGAACTGCAGTCCTGCTCCAGAACCTGAGTGTTGCGTATGCATCAGTTTTACAGATCTCATTCTCTTGAATACAGACTGTTGGTTCCTTGCCTCTACGGCAGATGCACCCCGACTTCAAAGAAAGCTCCCCAATTAGTCGACTCTTATGACATGCTTTTGGGGAGGCAGTGGGTCTATTCATGTTTTCCCCCACAATGGGACACCGGAACCCACACGGGGGAATAATATCTTTTCTTCTTCATGTTCATAAAATCACTGTGTCCCCAATATCAGTTCTTGTTTAATTGTTGATCTATCCCCCAACTGACTGATGATAAGGCAGACTAGTCACTTCATCTCACACAGCTCCTTTTTGTCAAAGTAATCTTGCAGAAGACATACAATAACTATTAGACATTGTGGTACTAGAGAGAACAAACAAGGGGACATCCTTAAATGTCAAGAAAACAGAAACAATAGTTATTTCAAAGAAGATAACTCCAAAACGTGACATAGCAATAGAGGAGAAGATGCTTAACCAAGTCAATAAATTCAAGTATTTGGGGGACAGTCATAACATCAAATGGACAATGGACAGAAAGTAAGAGCAGAATTGGCCAGACAAAGGCAGCATTTCAGACAATAAGAAGTATCTTATGTAATAAATCACTCCAATTAAACATCAGAAAATGAATACTAAAATGTTACATCAAACATGTTCTGTTGTATGGCAGTGAATTTTGGAATGTGAGCAAACAAATTAAGAAATGTTTTGAGGCCACCGAGATGTGGTTCTTGAGAAGAACATTATGAATACCTTGGAATACCAGAATAACTAACAATGATTGCCTGGAAATGGCTAACAAAAGTAGAACATTATATACAACAATGAGAAGGAGACAAACAAGTGTTCTTTGGTCAAGAGATGAGAAAAGTAGCACTGGAAAATATTGTGATGACTGGAAAAATCACTGGTAGAAGAGGCAGAGGTAGGTTAAGAGAAATTATGATGGACGGTTTAAGACAGTGGCATGGAGGAATGTCATCAGTGGAATTGATCCAGAACACCAAAGACCAAGATCTGTGGAGATGCATGAACACCTACGCCATCTGACAAGGCACTTGACGATGATGATAGATCTTCAAAAAATAAAGCTAACATATTCGTTATTTTACCTCTCCTGCAACATGCAAAGATGGACAAGCAAAGGAGATTTTTGGCTGAAACCTGAGAGGGCTGCCACATACTGCCCCTACTCTGCCATGAACATCCTGCAGGAAAGTGGTTAGAATAGGTTTAGGGTCCACTCTTTGAACCATTTGCATAGGTCCTGCTCTCAGACACACATTGGGATAGCTTTTAATTTGTTAAGGTTAGGCTAACAGTTAGCAGGCATACATTAGTGTTTACTATACACTGATAGTTAAATATTGTCAAATAATAAAAAATAATACAAACAGGACAATCATCATCATCATGTGCCCTGCCAACTGGTGTAGGTGCTCATGCATCTCCACAGATCACAATCCCTGGTTGCCTGGAACAGCTCTCTTGATGATGTCCCTCCATGCCATCGATTCAGCCAGAACAATGCCTCTAATAAAACAGCACAGTAACAATGAAAAGCATTATGTGTTTCCTGTATTTTTGAATTTTTTTTTTTTTTTTTCAGCCCCACACATAGTCACATAATATAAAGAATCTGGGGTAGCACATTCTTCTTCAATTTCTTCTTCCCCTTGCAGCTGGTGTGGTTTACAGCTAGGCTGCAACTCTGTATTTTCAGGCCCAAAACATCTGATTTCAGTCAATCCCTAATTAGTCACCTTTGACTAAATGCTTGTTGGGGAAACTGAACCCATTCCAACAGACTGACCACTCATCAAAGGATACGTAAAATGTTTGCCCCCACCTGAAGGCAGGAAACAAACTTGGCAGTACAGAATATCTTCATCCGTATCAGGCAGTCTATACCCATACTGAAAATTAAAAAGAAAAAAAAAAAACAGATTACAATGCCTTAGTTTTAAGGTCTCTATATTCATACTGAAAATGAAAATTAAGATAGGTATATTTTACTTGTACGAGGGACTCTATATTCATACTGAAAATGAAATAATAAAAATTTTTTTAAAAGGAAACCATATTAGTATGAGGATTCTACTGATTACGATATATTAGTGTGAGAGATTTTATCTCATACTGAAAATTAAAATGGTGATAAGAATATCTTATTAGTGTGAGGGACTCCATCTTAATACTGAAAGTCAAAAAAAAGAATTATAACAGAATAAAATAGATAAGTGTGAGGGACCCTGCATTCATACTGGACATTAAAAACAATGAGATACTTCAGACATGTATCAAGACTAACCCAAGATAGTGCACCATAGAGTGCCTGTTACTCAGACACAAAGGAACAGAGCTACAGGTCCCCCCACACAAACAATGGATGGATGGAATATCATAGGCCCTGAATACCAGCATCTACGTAGCACACAAAGGCTCACATCAGATGCCTCTTCAAAACCTGATGCTGGGAGGCAGTTCAGGAAAAGTAAAAAGTAAAAAAAAAAAAACAATGGAGAGAAACAAAAGAACAGTAAGATATCCAAATATCTGTTTGTATGAAAGACAGACACTGCAAGGATCAAACTAGTTGTCACAGGTGCAAGACCTAAACATAAGTTTATTTCTCATTGACCTGAGGGTACAGGTTGACTGTCTACTGTGAAAACTAAGAAACAGTCTGGGAAGTAAAAGTGGCCAAGTGGTATTAACTATATCATACATCAAGTGAGGATCAGTCTTAAATATGGAACTAGCACCATATATCCCACAGCGTAAAAAGAGGTTCTCTATCATCACTTTACTAACATAAACACTGCATTGTTAGGGCCCTTTGGGAGCTCCATATGTATTTTTTGGCATCCGCTTTTCAGTACTTCTGTAATAGACTCTAAGTGATGCATAAGGGCACTTTCTACTACACACCTTATGTTGAGTTAAGAATCGACATCACAGCACTTGGGACACTCCCATAAGTGCTCAGTCCCAATCTTCAGCAACAAGTGAAGAATTCTAATTCTGATGGTACCAGTAACCGTCTGATTGTATATCTGTCCCATCCTTTCCCTGAGTTTTGAGCATCGGCCAGATCCTCTGGTTACTCCTCGCAGTGCCATTCTTCTTAGATCGTATTGATCTATCTACGCCTTCACACTGTTTACTTACTCCCAAAGGGCCCTCACTATATCTAACTTGTCATACATCAATTCACCACCAAGTGGTGCAGAGCCAACCAGTCTATCTGCCTGCTCATTTCCCATGACCTGGAGAAAATATCCAAAGGATGCTAACTACCTGAGACCTATAAAGTGATGCTTGCTACTCTGCACGAAGCATACCAGTTTTCACCTTTCTCAACATGCTCTATGAGTCTGTTACACACCATGTGGTGAGTTACCAGCACTTTATTTTTTAGAGAGAAAAAAAATGCCCCGAAGCTTACCATTACAACAGTCTTCTTTTACAGGTCATTCTGCATAAGGTAACATTCAACAAAAGCAAACATAAATTCAACACATGACAGTCACCATATTTTTCCAGTATCGCTGCAGATCTCTGTAACAGGTGAAGGGACTTTGCCTTGAAATATTCAGAGACACACTGATGATCCTGCCCCTCTTCATGCTGAAAGCAGATACAGCACACCTGTAAATGTTTTACATGGTACATATTTTTTAAATCATCATCATCATCAATCAGACAATCATCAATCCTTTACAGAACTCATTCTTGTCCTGGCATGCCTGAAAGTCTTTCTCTAGCCATGTCTCCAGCTCTACAGACTTTTATAGCCAATACATCTTCAGTATCTCGTATCCACGTCTTTGGAGGTCTGCCTCTGCCTCATTTTCCAGAAATGGCGTATGTGCTTGGTGTGACACTCTCGGCAGGCAGCTAGTCATTCTATGACATAAACATACAGACATGCACATGTACAAAGAAGCCTTGCCTGGGAGGAGTTAAAGTAATAAGTTTCTGAATAGCAAAACTATAAGTAAAGACTGTCAAGGTAGATGGAGTAAGAACTGCCTGGACAGTAGTATTTTACGTAATATACATCCATGCATACATAAACATAAAAAGCATGCACATATACAAAGAAGCCAGGGCATACAAGTGGACAGAGAGACATGCTTTTACAAATAGAAACGGTTAGGAAATATATGTAACTTAGGAGCCAGGTATAGAAAAGGTTCAACTGATTTGTGCTGATAAACCTGGACATTTATTATAAGGGTCTGTAGCATTTAATTTTGTGTTTTACACTTAGGGCATCGCATCAACACCTTTTGATCCAACACATCCACTTTCAGATAATCCCCAGCTTGTTCCATTTTACAACATGCTTGTAGATGAGCAGCTGGCCAAACAGTTAAGAACACTAGACTCTCATGGAGACTCGGGTTTAAATCCTTGGCAAGGTCATTGTTGTTTTCTGTCAGAAGCAAAAACAAAATCCCAACTGGCACATTCTATGATGACTGCACTGGTCATGCAGTCATAAATCCTCAGACTCAAAAACTCAGCTGCCTACACCATGAAAGTGGTTAATACAGGTGGTAACGACAGGTTTTTTTCTTCTTTAATGACAGTTACAACATGCTTGTTAAGATCTAAAGATCAGTTTGTCTATTTACCGCCCCTCTCCCCCTCCCATCCCAAAAAGTTAAGCACCTGAATCCGTGCATGGAAAGTCGGAGATTTAACTACAGCCATTGCTTTTCTCTGAACATACAAAATGGTACGAAGTATTTCCCCAGTTTTAGGCATCAATTTTTTTTTAAATACTGTAATAGGCGCTTGTAATGTGGTGAATACAGGCACATTTTTTGAAACGTTATAGTGAGTACCGGCACCTTTGTTCTATAGAGAGAGAAAAGCCTTGACTGCAGCTGTAGTCCAACACTTTACCTGGGTAGAACATGACACCAACAGTCAGCTAACATAACCTCACTGACTCCATCTTCGGTAGATTTCACAATCTGTAACATTTCTTGCTGACTCAGACAGAGATCTTCCACCTGTTTGGTTAGATCAATCAAAATATCTCCACTGATCAAATACCACAGTTCAAAGATACAACAGAAAAACAATATGACACTTTAAGAAATATAACAAAATAGAGTTGATAATCTGTTTTGGATGACCTAGTGGATATTTTATTAGATTCTCCCTGTGAAGGTTCCGGAGATCGATTTCAAGGGGCAAAGAGAAACGGGGGGGGGGGGGGGAAGGGGCAGAATATACTCACTGCCTCCCTAAGAAAAGCAAGTAGTAAAAGTTTATTAATTATGAGTATTTCCCGTGAAGTCAGAGTGCATCTGCCTGAGAGGTGACGAACCAACAGTCTGCATATAAATTATCCAGATCTGTAAAACAGATGTGCACGCAAAACTCGCATTATGAAAATCCAAAAATATACATGAATTTTTTCTGGCAGTCTACAGCCGATAAATGCTAAGAAGAACAAAAAGAAATATTAGATTCTTTAGCGTGGGTAAGGCATGGGGTGAGCTACATATGATGGCAAAGGAAAAAACAAACTGACACTAGCTGCATGACAGCTTATGCTCCATTGGGGAGTAAAGGACAGAAGAAGGCATGTACTTAACATAGTTAGTTAGCTAATCGACAGATTATCTTCATTGCACATCAAACAAGTCCATAAGAGTTTGGATCCCATCTTCAGTATATTCCTTAGTGTGTGGCGACTGATAACACCAGTTCTGTGTTAGTTTGCTATTCTTCTTTGGCTACCTGTATAATGTTCATAATTGGCAATACCTCTTTTGACTTGAAGTTCTTATAGTCTTGTGAGTGTTGCGGATTCAACATTGTCTCTTGAATCATCTTCTCGCCTAGCCGGTAAAGGACCTGTTTCATGCCTTTTATGCATCGGCCATTAAGTGCTAGGCTTATACTTGTACAGACCTGTCAGCACTCAGGTGATGTTGTCAACATCACGCCAGCTGCCTTTATATCCCATGACATTGCCTGGTACTCGCTGGAAGCCAAGGTCAATTATGAAAAACTAATTGATAGCAAAAATGACGGAGAGGGGCCAGAGGTGGTGGACTGGATTCCATCCATGATATCGACGTGTCTGCACAGGATAGAACGGAATGGGGGAATAGACAGCGGGCCCTATGTGGCAAACATATAATGGCACAACACCGCAATGATGATGATGATGATGATGATGATATGCTATGGCATTAATTTAAAGTTCTATCTTTCACTGATTTTGTATTTTTCATTCTTGAATGTGAAATGTTCAAGGCTTAGGAGGTTGTGTGATTTCTTGTTTTCTTTCTCGCCAACGTTCCATCCTTCTTCTTCTTCTTTATGTTCACTGGCTGCAAACTCTGGTGGAAAATTCTGGCTGTTCATCCACTTCTGGACTCTACTTCTGTTTCAGAACTTGAGTGTTGCATGCTTCCCAGAACATTTGTATGTGTACATTACAGCTGAGTACTGGAAACAGACCACAGTCTTTGCCTGTAAGTACTATCACTGCTATGGCAATGGAACTATAGTTTTGGCAACAGCTGAAACTTTAAAATGGCTGCATTTTTATTTATTAAAATACTGTCTGAAAATGATTGCACGCACCTGCAGGGGTGGAAACCTGACCACAGTGCCACACACAGATACAAACATTTCATCTTTGTTGACACATAATCTCATTTCTGAAACAGATATTACAGAAGATTAGTAGTTTGTCAGACTTGTCATTTTAGTGCTCTTATCCATGGGCTACACAGTTGTGACTGTCATGCGTCTGTTGTGTGTGTGTTGCATGTCGTGTGTGTTGCATGTTGTGTGTGTTTGTGTGTGTATTGTGTATGTGTGTCTTTATGTCTGTCTGTCTCTGTGTGTGAGAAAGCGTGTGTGTGAGCAGGTGTGTGTGAAAGAGAGAGTGTGTGAGTGTGTGTGTGTGTTTGTGCATGTGTATATGTGGTTGCTGAATAAGAAATTTTTACAAACCCATAGTTCTTTTACCCTCTTTGATGCAGATGACAAAAGCAGATAAACAGCTGTCAAATCAGTACTGAGGTATTGAGCAAAAACATGGAGAACAACTAAAACATTTACTAATCAACTACAAAGATTCATTAACTGGTGCCTGTGCAAAATGGAGTTAGTTAAATGCTATGATAGAATTACCCTGGTTGAGCTTTGGGAGAGAACTAAACAAGTTCCAGTGAATCAAGAGCTGAAGAAAAGATGCTGGTGTTGAACAAGAGGCATGCTGAGAAAATGTGAGACAAATATAGCTAAAAGGGCTTTACAGGGGAACTCACAAAGGCAAATGAATAAAGGCAAATGAAAAATATCACGATGAAGGAAACTAGAGACAGAAGTTAAAAAGATGGGGAGGACATCAAGTGAGCTGCATGTGAAAGCAAAGAATCGTACAACGAGTTGAGCGAGAGTCTCTGCTCCCTTAGGGGATAAAGGGCAGAAAAATAAGAAGGTAAACAGCAGATCCAGTCTCAGTAGATATGTATTTATTTATTCCACTGTGTGAACAGGCATACATACAAGCACAATCGAACCAGCTGACCAAAAGGCATGCAGAAACACAGATACCCTATGTCATGTGCTGGTCCTTTGTGTAAAACATCATCTTCATCATGACCTGCTGGAAAGATTTTAAACTTTTGCCGATTCCTCTGTCTGTCGAACTTTCATATTTAATGTGTCTTTTGTGTCATCTTTGATTTGGCTGGCCCTGGCCTTTACTTCCTAAATCATTACTGTTTTTTTTTTTTTTGGTGAGTCTCTGTGATGTTTAATACATTCACACTTATGTCTTACATATATATATATACATAAATTTCTTATCCAGCAACCACATATACACATGCACAAACACACACACACACTCTCTCTCTCTCTTTCACACACACCTGCTCACACACACGCTTTCTCACACACAGAGACAGACATAAAGACACACAGACAGACACACAAAGACACACATACACAATACACACACAAACACACACGACATGCAACACACACACAACAGACGCATGACAGTCACAACTGTGTAGCCCATGGATAAGAGCACTAAAATGACAAGTCTGACAAACTATATTTTTATATATAAAGTAAAATGTAAAGTAAAGAACCCTTTTCCACTCCTTCAGGCGTATTTGGCATATAGGGCTAGACTTATATTTTATAGAACAATCAGCACTTGGTGGGTGATGTGGTCAGCACCATGCCGGCCACCTTTACTTCACCTGGTACCCACTCAAAGCTGGGTCGACTTGAAAGCCAAGGTCATTTTTTTTTTAAGTCCTGTTCCGTCAGGATCCGATCCCACTACCTTCCAATTCACAGGCAAGTGTCTAGCTGCTATATCACGGCGACTCGTGTCTTATACAAATAGTAGGAAGAAAAAATACTCACTTATTGCATTTGTATATCCTGTGTGCATCAGAAAGTCACGACCTGCTCAGATGATAGTTACAATCCTATAGCTATGGTATTAATATAAAGAGAATACAGTAAAACTTTGTTAACATGAACTCACTTAAAAAGAACCCTCAGTCACATTATATGGACACTTTTGGTTCCAGCAGGGATGTATTATTATTATTAGACCCTAGGAAGCATGATTTTTTTTTTAACATGAGCTCATGATTTGTCGGTCCCTTGGAATTCTTGTAAACAAGATTTTACTATATGTGCTTCACAGCTAAATAGTTTACATTGTTTACTATGGCAAAAAGAAAAATACAGTTTTCTTATTTGTGGATTTATTATATGTTGATCTCTCTCTTTCTCTCTCTCTCTCTCTCTTTCTCTCTCTCTCTCTTTCTCTCTGAGTGTGCATCTGTATACGTGTTGTTTTTGTTTTGGATTAAACTTGACTGGAATATTTATGTTGCAGTAGATAGTCAACAGTCAAGCAGATGGGGCAAATTGACTTCTGATATTATTATCATATGCATATGCGTATCTTTGTCAGTTTGTATCTGTTTAAAAGTTGTCATGCTAGTTGAGATTTCACTACACTAGACAGTGATCAGTGCCAAACGTGGACACTTACATCCTTCAATGAACGTAAAATTGTGACAACAGAGATGAAATGCCTTAGAAGAGCTGCAGGAGTTTCAAGGAAAGACAGAATACAAAATCATGAAATCAGACGAATGCTAGGAATAAAGCCAGTCTTACAGGTCATCAAAGAACAACAAATGAAATGGGTTGGACACCTAACAAGAATGCCCTGGTACTATCTGCCACAGCGAGCCACACTAAAACGTTACAACGGGTATAAAGCGAGTGGAAGACCTCGGAAAATATGGAGTGATGGCATTAAGAACAGCCTTACAGAAATGAACATCAGTCTTAATAGTGCTCTTGACAGAGCTCATCAACGAACATTACATCTCCCCCCGACACTTCGATGAGGTACAAGGTGGAAGAGAAGAAGAAGAAGACAGTGATCAGAAGTAATGTTCTTCTAGCTCAGCTTTACTATTTGTGGGTATATTATTTGCAAGAAATATATATACATATATAATCTACAGGTGTATGTATATATATATATATATATATATACAATTACAATTTCAACAGTGGACATTTAGTTAGTTAGTTAGTTAGTTAGTTAGTTAGTTAGTTGGGTTATCATCATTGCACTCCGGACATGTCCATAGGTGCTCAGATCCTCCCCTCAGTATGAATCCCAACATCCGATGGCTAATAGTACCAGTTCTATGTTGATTAACAAATCTTCTGACGTGCCCGGTGTGCGTCTCGTTTTTTGCTGTGCCGATCTTAATTCCCAAGTCTGCCATTCTGGCGAGTGATGTGGATTCACTGCCACCAAAGTCCTCTATCCTTCCCATTTCTCTGAGGGCATTGATAATATCAGCATGATCCATAGGCCGACCGTCGGTAGTGATAGCGGATCCAGCCAGCCTGTCAGCTCTTTCATTTCCATCGACGCCTGCGTGTCCCGGAACAAAAATAAGGTGACTCCTCGCACAGTGGACTTCTGAATTGATTCAAGCCATTGTCTTCGCACTGAACCTGCCTGAACCCTCCGGATCATACTCATTGAATCACTGAGTATACATATGCGGGTGTATTTTTGTGTTTTTCAAGCCAGGCAAACGCTTGCGTCACTGCCATCACCTCCATCGTCATGCTGCTGGTTGTCATGGAGAAGGCGCCGTTGGCTTCTTTGACTGTTCTGCCCGCTGAGCGTGCTGTAAATGCCCATGCGCTTCTTCTTTGGCGTATAACGGATCCGTCTGTATAGATTAGTGCATCTGCTTTCGTCTGAATTTTCACCGATGAGAGCGTTGACCTCTGCATTAACAGCAACAGGATTCTCTTCTCTACATCGCCTGTTGAGTGTGACAATACAGGAAAATGTACAAATAAACGCCTGAGGCACAGGTATCCATTCTGCACCAGGTATGATGTCGGTTAGGCTGCATATTTGCCTAATAACATCTTCTGCCCGACCTAGCCACGATTTTCCCCTCTTCAGTCTGTCGCCCTTTTCACTAAAAAGCGCTTGATGCAGTGGGTGTTTCTTATCAGCACATATTTTGAGGTATGCCCGAGCCCTCCACATCCTGATCCTTTGGTTCATTGTTGGAAAGTCAAGTAGATACCTCATTGCTCCACAGGATGTGTCTCTTGTACATCCCAAAATAATACAGTGGACATGTGGAGACTAAAGACAAATCATTTCAAATCCTTCATACGTCAACGGCAGAACGCTAAGATTTCTCGAAGCTTCTGTGATTCGTCACCTGCGCCTGAAACTCTGTATTCAGAAAGAGATGGTTCTGTCTTTACGGCTGCTCTGGTAAAAACAAACAATCATGTTTGATCGTTGTTGAAATTGTACTTCATTTATAAAGGATTCACTTATTTGCTTCATTTATGTAATTGTTACTGTAGTGTGCACCTGACGGGATACAGCGATATATGCCAGGCAATAAATTGTGCAATCTATTGTTTGTGTTTTCTTTGTTCAAATTTATATATAAATATATATATATATATATATATATATATATATATATATATATATATATATATATATATATATATATATATATATATATATAAAACATTCTGAGTTTAAGAAATGAACATTTCTTTTTCTTTGCAACTGCCAAGAGATTATAACTGAAACAGTAATGATGAAAGAAGATATACCCTGAAGCAACCAGTCCCCTGCTTTGTTCCATACTGGTGCCAATCTTGCTAACATTGTATAGTGCAGACAGGCTTGATATAAAGAGGGCAGGACTCTGTAAGGTTTGCTCAGCTGTGGAATACATCAATAAAGATATAACATGATTTGTTGTTTGTGTGTTTTGTTGTGGTAACTGTTACAAAATGTAAGTACTACAACATACTTCTTCTTCTCCTTCTTCTCTTCTTCTTCACTACCTCTTCTACCACTTTTGGTGTCAACGTTCAGCTTCTTGCCCTTCTGGCCATCTCAGCCATAGTTCATTCGTGGTGTTGTAGAGGTTATCTGATGTTATCTTTCCATATTCTTCTTGGAATACCTCATGCTCAATGTCCTTCGCCTCTTTTACAATAAACTGTTCTTGTTCTATGCTCACCATCAAAAGGGAAGTTGGCAAGTTCTGTTGTGGTTTAAAGTTAGGCCATGATATCTGCACCTTTCTGTTCACCTTAAATAGTTATCTTTTATGACATGCTTGTTAATGGACAGTGGACCTGCTCGTCCCCCCCCCCCCAATGGGACCCCCAAACCCACATGGAGAATATTAATCAATAACATTCTTTAATGGACAGCTGACTGGTAGTAACAGTAACTGAATCAATTATATCCTGTTCAACCCTTTTAATTATATTGTGATATATACTGACTTCAATTGTTTAGAAGTCTGACAACAGTTGTCAGTCATATCTCTATTTGTTGGCATCTTTGTTTCTAGATGAAAATGTTATATTGTGCTACAGGGGGGGGGGGGGGGCTGGGAATCTAAGCCCATCTCCATAGCAAGGAGCCTGAGCAGTATTACAGAGATTTTGTGCAGCATATCTCCATTAACATACATCTGTTCACGGTAGCCCACTGGCAAAATCTGGCCCTCGCAAATCAACTGTATTACTGTCATAATATGTCTACGCTAGGGCTTGGACGTCTGGCTCATGATAATGATCACTTTTGTTTGGTCGCTTAATGGACTTAATTAAATAGCCCTGCCTGCCTTATATGCTTCATTACTGCATACGTAAGAAATATGAGCAATGAATATATGTAAGTAAAGGACCATCTTCCACTCCTTTAGGCATACAGGGCATATAGGGCTAGACCTATATTTTTATAGACCAATCGACACAAGATGAGTGATGTGGTCAGCATCACGCCAGCCCCTTTTACTTTCCGGGACTACACCCGGTACCCACTCAAGGCTCGAAATGGCGCGATGCCTGTCGTGCAGTGTTGTAGTGCCCGTATGTGATTAAAATTTATCGCGTGGGCAACTGTTGATGTGTTGGCGACTTCTGCTACCATCAATGATGAACTGCAATTCTAATACTGTTATAAACATTCTGTGTGTTTTTCGTTGGCACAGGAGCGGAGCAAAGATGGGGTGACCCGTTTGCTATGAAGCTGAAACTAAGACTACCAGACTACCAGACTCAAGGCTCGGTCGACCTGGGAGCCAAGGTCATTTAATAAATATATGATGTGAGATTTGAACTTGAAACTTTTAAGAAATACAGCTGAAATAGCTAGCTGCCAAAGATTCTGCATAAATATA